GGGGGAAATGGGGGGGCGGGGAGCCCTCTTTGCGCCTGTTCTTGCAAATGCAGGGGCGAGTGGGTCGGGGGCATTTTTCGGCGTTGGTACTTGGAAAACCAACCAAGGGCGGTCAACCGTTGGCCCGGCGGCGGGACAAGTTTCCCGGGAGGCGGGAACTGTCCTGGTCGAGAGTGTGTGCCGCCAAGGCGGGACCACTCGGGGACAGTGCCGACGGGACGCGGCTCGAAGGGCGTGGCTCCGCAGCGCGGCTGGCACTCGTCGCAGAGGCCTCACCTTCGAAAAGTCGGGCATGGCTCCACCCGCAACTTTGTCGCTAACACGCGCGCACCGCCGAGCCTGCGGCGGGCGCGCTGCGGCCGCACGTCTACTTCGTCATAGTGCCACGACGTGCGGCCTAGATTTAGCCCACGCGCCTCTGCTCGCAAACACTCACCCATTGAATTGTCACTGCCTGTGAGTGCGAGACAGGGCTAGCAGTAGGCAGCTAGCCCGTGAGGAGAGCGTCCATAGACACCTCACTTAGACCCCACACACGGTCTCGTCCGTGCCTCGCCGGCCGGAGAGATTGCTGGAGGTAGAGCAAGCCTGCTCTAGCCTCGCATGTCACTTCCTGTCGTCTGTTGTGTCGTTGTGCCCTTGTTTGTTTCTCTTGGCACCGTGGAGTGCTGGGGGGGGCGACAGGGAGGATATGGCCTTGAGTTATGTGTACGCCAACTCAGGGTGTGTGGCAGCCCGCTGGCTGTGTGTCTTGTGAGCCTGTTTGTGTCTGTGTGTCGCTCGTGCGTGCCGTCATCATCTGTCTAGCGTCCACCCATACCGCGTTGGTGTCCAGTCCGAGCCTGGCTGTTCTTCACCTTTCTACCTACCTACCTACCTACCTACCTACTACCGGCGTGAATTCCTTTCAGAGGAGCCTCCAGAATTGAGTATTTGGAGTGTCCGGACGACTTTCTGCACGCTGGACACGGTGCATGCATGTGCATTCTCGACATGCAGAGAGAGAGTCTTCTTCTTGACATGCATGCCGCTCCCAATGCCTCGCATGGCCGCACATATTCGGCAAAAACAAATTCGGCCCGTCGCCATGTCGAGGCATGCGGTCATGCCGGATCACGGGTTGTGATCTCTCGGGTTGTGTCATGTTGCGAGAAAGATGTGAACATGTTACGACATGTCACCCCGTTCAGCCAGGCCGAAAGGGCCATTTCGCGGCTGGAGGAACCAAGCGGGGGTGCGAGGAGGAGGCCGCGTAAGTATTTCAAACGTTGGAGTTGTTTGTGGTGGCAGCCGTGACTCTTGAGAAAAAAACGTTGGAGTTCCCCGATTTTGCCACGGTGCCACGGACCGTCCGTCCGGCACCGGCGCTCCGGGACGGCACGCCGGCGAAGCACCATCAAGCTGCTGTACGGCCCCGGCATCGCCTCCCCTGGCTTAGCTCTCAGTCAAGATATTGTGCACATGGTCAGTCTCTACAATATACTCACTGACACTGAACCTCCCAGAGCTCGTCCCGGTCCGCCACGGCCATCCTCGGCCTCCGGAGGGCCCCCGGCCGCGGGGCGGTGCAGCGGCGTCACAAATCCGACCACAGAGCACCGGGACGCGGTCGGGCGATCTGAGGCCCGACTAGGCGTATGCATTGCCCATCCAGGGCTTATCACCTGGACCTATCAACAAACAGGCGCCTGCGGCGCCGTGCTCAGGAGCTGCTGCTCCAACCTGTTCACACTTTCGTACGGCACAGTAAGGAGAACGGCGCTGAACCAGATCAATGACGAACAAGGTAGAGAGAGGGGGGGTGCCTAGCGGGGCGCCGCGTCAACCCTCCCGGACACCCCCCTGACACAAAAAATCTCTCTCTCTATCCCCCCCCCCCCCCCCCCCACGGGGACACCCTGGCATCCTCTCTCCTCTGGAACCCCGCGAGTCGCTGGCTCGCCACCAAGCTCAACGGCATCACCTCGCACGTCCCGCCTCCGCCGCCCGAGGACGGCTCGCCGAAGCGAAAGATGCTGCTCGTGCACGCTCACCCGCTCGCCTCGTCGTACTCGTCGGCGCTCGCGGCGGCGGTGGAGGAGGGAGCCAGGGCGGGTGGCCACGAGCTGCGCAGGATCTCGCTCTACGACCAGAACTATGGCGTCAAGCTGACGGCGAGCGAGCGCGCCGCCTACTTTGAGACGACGCGTCCCGAGCGGCTAGCGAGCGACGTGCGGCGCGCCCTGACGGACCTCTCGTGGTGCGACTCGGTCGTCTTTGTGTACCCGACATGGTGGTTCAACGTGCCCGCTGCCCTCAAGGGCTTCTTCGATCGCACCTTCCAGCCAGGCAGCAGCACGGCAGGTGCAATCGGCGCGTGGGAGTTCCCTCCGACCGGCTGCGACGCGGCGGGCGAGGGCGCGAGCAGCACCGGGCTCAGGCCGCTACTGACCAACGTGAAGCGCGTCGCCGCCGTCTCCACGTACGGAGCGCCGCAGCACATCGCCTTCCTGGCGGGCGACAACGGCCGCAACTGCATCGCCACCGCCATCCGGCACGGGGCCTTTGCGCCTGACTGCACCTGCCTCTGGCTCGGGCTCTACGCGATCGACTCGACCAGCGGGCAGGCGAGAGCGCCGACCCTCCCCTCGCCCAGCACTCTCTGTCGACCTCGGCACGGTCTCTCGGCCGGTCCGGGTGGTGAATCTCAGATGATCTGCCGCCATCTCGGGTGATCTCGGGTGATTTCGGTAGGAGCGCGCCGCCTTCCTGGCTCGCGTCCGCGAAACCTTTGCGTCTGGCTTCTAGCGCGCTTGCACTCCTCCCGCGCGATCGGTCTTGCCGACGGCGTAGCCACGACGCGGGCCCGGTGGCGGGTGGGCCGAGCACGCAGCAGCCCATTTCCCCGACGACCCGACGTCTCTCGATCTGTGCCGGCAGCGATACGCACTACGTGCGCGGTGTGTACCTCTATATTACCCTACACTAACACTACAGCCGTCGAGCTGTGGTGTGTGCCCGCCTGCCGGCGGCGTCTCCCACTTTTGCGGCGCGTGAGCGGGTCCACCCCCGGCACCCGCGCACACGGCACGCGGCTCGGCGGGTCGCGGCCCACGCCGCGTCGGCGGCCGTCGCGTGCCGAGGCCGAGAGCGGAGCGAGAGAGGGCTGCGAGGGGCCCCCCGAGCCCCGTGGCCCGTGCGGGTCTCGGCTCTCGCGTCTCGGGGGGTCTCGCTCGCACGGTTTGGACACAGGACACGGCTCACGCTCTCGGGCGTTGGCCCCCTTACGGGGCCTGACGGTCCAATGTTTCCCTCAAGAGTACAGCTTTACTCCCTCCCCTACCCCACCCTTTCACTTTAGATGTGTCGGACCATAGGGCTGTGAGTCAACATACAACAAGCCGCGTAACGTACAACACTCTCGTACAACAGTACACACATGCTCATGCAGTACAGATCACTTGGTCGTCTGTCGCTGACACTTCGCCGTCGCTTTGGCTGCTAACTTGACTGCTGGCTGGGCGCCGCGGGCTTGGCTGAAGTCTCGTGTAAGCCACCCACACCCCTCACTCCTCCTCCACAAATCCCCTCAGGACCCGGGTCTTGAGCGAGGAAATGCGCGAGCTTGGGCTGCTACTCCACGTCCAGCCTCCCATGAGTTGTCGGCAAACGCTCCCGCCATGCTGCTCTTCCAAGCGGCGCGTCCAGCGTTCGCCAGTACACGCTTGACGCCTGAGAGCGCTGAGATGTTGCGCGTCGGCGCCTTGCGAGCGGCGAAGCGGCTGTATTTGAAGTCGGTGCTGAATAAGTCCGCCACCTTGTAGTCGTCACCGGAGCCCTCGATCGCGCCTTCGGCTTGCGCCTCAGTCGTGATTTCGTTGGCCTTGAAGGAGGTCTGCCGCCACCACAGCTCTCGGTCTGCAGTGCACAGCAAGCTGCGCGTCAAAACGGCCGGGGGCGAGGGGTAGCTAGAGCGAGGGGCGCGCACATTGGTCCTTCTTGCCATCGACCGCGATGCCATCGCCGTCAAAGGACTGGCCTACCAGGCCGTGCGGAGCCACAACCTCGCCCGTTTTGGGGTTTTGTGCTGCGGGTTCATCAGAGCTGGGAGCCGCCATGTACAGCTCGTAGCGTTTGTTATGTGTGACATATATTGTCTCGTTCAGTAGCTTCTCCTCAAGTACCCGATACGGCGGTGGGGGCGGGGACGGCGTCGGGCTTGGAGGCGGCGATGAGGGCGGAGGCAGCGGCGGCGGCGGCGAGGGCGGAGGCGGTGAGGGCGGAGGCGTCGAGGGCGGAGGTGGTGAGGGCGGAGGCGGCGAGGGCGAAGGCGGCGAGGGTGGGGGCAGCGAGGGCGGTGGCAGCAAGGGCGGTGGCGGCGAGGGCGGAGGCGAGGGTGGGGGCGGCGAGGGTGAGGGCAGCAAGGGAGGTTGCGAGGGTGGCGGCGGCGAGGGTGGTGGCTTCGATGGTGGCGTCGGCGAGGGTGGCGGCAGCGGGGGCTGTGGTGGCGATGGTGGTGGCGGCGTGGGTAACGGCGGGGGCAGGGGCGGCGGTTGTGGAGAAGGCGGTGGCGCGGGCGGCGGCGAGGGCGGCGAGGGCGGAGGTGCAGAGGGCGGCTCGTAAACTACCACCGCCTTCACGCTTGTCATATCTGCGGTTGCGTTTGCCCATCTACTGTCCAGGTCGCTAAGGGATATTTTCTCTACACCATGCAACATCTCGAAGGTTGCGTTTGCCCAGCTGCTATCCAGGTTGACTACAATTTGCTCGGGTTCCGGGCGCCTTCCAGGTGGAGGTGTTCCGTTTGCTTCAGACAGGCGGCGGTTCCTCGCACGCGACTTTGGACTTACATGTATGTGGTCGTCGTTTGTCGTTGTTACGTTATCTGGCGCGCCAAGCCTTAACCAGCACATCTTGTAAGTGCTGTTCTCCGGTGCAAAGTCTGGGATCATGAGCTGTATCTCGGTGCCCAGGTATTCATCCTTGTACATATGGAGGATCCCGCCATTGCATGGCGTGTGTGTGAACCAGAGGTCCGCACCGCGGGCGTCCTCCCTTGTCGAATGTGAATACCAGCACATGGGGAGGCGATGAGCCGTGTCGCACGATGGCTCTTGGGTAAAGATGAAGGCGTCTCCCAATCTTGCCTCTTCGTAGACGCTGAGCCGCCGCCGGCGCTGTCCCCCGCTTTGTGCTGCGGGTTCATCAGAGCTGGGAGCCGCCATGTACAGCTCGTAGCGTTTGTTATGTGTGACATATATTGTCTCGTTCAGCAGCTTCTCCTCAAGTACCCGATACGGCGGTGGGGACGGCGTCGGGCTTGGAGGCGGCGATGAGGGCGGAGGCGGCGGAGGCGGAGGCGGAGGCAAGGGCGGGGGATGTGATGGCGGCCGCGGAGAGGGTGGTGGTGATGATGGCGGTGGCGGAGGCAGGGGTGGCGGATCTGCGGGTGGGGGCGGCGAAGGTGGTGGTGGCGAGGGCTGAGGCGGCGAGGGCGGAGGCGGAGGCACGGGCGGGGGATGTGCTGGCGGTGGCGGAGAGGGTGGCGGTGGTGATGGCGGAGGCGATGAGGGCCGCGGCGGCGACGGCGGAGGGCTGGGCGGCGGTGGAGGTGAGGGCTGCGAGGGCGGAGGGCTGGGCGGCGGTGGAGGCGAGGGCAGAGGGCTGGGTGGCGGTGAAGGGGAGGGCGGCGGCAGCGGGAGCGGCGGTGGCGAGAGAGGCGGCAGCAAGGGCGGAGGCGACAAGGGCGGCGGCAGCAAGGGCGGCGAGGGACGCGGAGGCGGTGACGGTGGGCAAGCATGAGAAGTCTCACAGACACCAGGAGGCATCAGATAAGCGTGTTCTTCTTGACATAGAGAGAAGTAGTAGCACCTTATGAGGAAGGTGCTTTCGACCCTGTCTTGATCGGGCGCGACCGGAGGGGAGGGGCCCTCAGGCGGAGGCAGTGACGGAGGCGGCAACGTGGGTGGTGGCGACGGTGGTGGCGGCGTTGAAGGCGGCGCCTGCGCACTTGCCGTCGAGACCAAGATGGCCACAAGGGCACTGCTGAGCCTGCCCCCTCGCCTGAATGGTCTCTGCTCCCAATCACACCGGCACCACCACAGCTGCACGAGTCTGGGCACCGAGGCGGCCAAAAAACTCAGGAGAGGAACGGAGACCAGACAATGCGCCAATGTCACGCACAATCCATTCCCGATTGGACCGTCGACATCCATCACCACGGCACGCGCCCGGTGGGCACGGAGCGGGGACAACAACTTGCCCTGCCCCAAGCGGGAGCAAATGCGCCGAGTTGGGCCGGGCCTGGTTTGCCTGAGTTCAGGCTAATCTATATTCAACTTTGGCTAAGTTCTCTAGGCCCCATATAGGCAGGCTTAGGCAAAACTCGGGACGGCCGTCCCACTTGGTGCAATAAAACAAGACAAGACGCGCAGCCTCAGGAAGCGTTTTTCATCAAGGATCATCGACCATGGCCGCAGGGAGCGAGGGGGAGGGCGCTGGGAGCAACACGGAGCTCCGTTAGACTTTTTCAAGATTAATATTGATTACGGCGTATTGATTACGGTAGAGTGAATGATTTGGAAGATGGAACTCTAGCCTGAAAATGCTCATTCGATAGCACTTGAGGCAAACTGCGGGTAAATAAATATTTTTGATCGGATGAACGCGAGCTCGTGGGGTCCACGAAAGCACCGCTTTGCGGTGTCAGAACCGCCCTCTTTGACCCTGGGGGGCCGAATCTGCGCCCTCTGGGGAGGGCCAGCACGCGGGTCGCGCCGCGCGCCTCCCGGACGAAGCGTGTTGCGCGGCGCACGGTGCCTCCGGGGGCCCCCGCGCCCCCCCAGAGCCGTAACCCGATACCGATCATCCGGCCCGCTGGGTGCGCTCCTCAGCTCCCCGGCCCTGGATGTGAGGTTGATGACTGCACTCCAAGTGCTCCAAGAGGCGATAATAGCCCAAGTCGAAGAGTGCGCGCCGCCCTCGGTATCTGGGTGGCATACGGGACTAGAGAGGCACACCAGAGCGCACGGCCGGGGGCGCGAGCCGCCATCTTGGACTGTGAGGCGAGTATTTGCAACCGGGAGCTCGCCGCCGCCCCTACAACGCCGCGGCCGCCCTCCCAATGCGTCGAGAGTCGACTCTCGACTGCTGAGAGAGTTCATCCCACCATCGGCACCGTATTCGCCCACAGCACGCCAAGATATTCATATTGGTCTAGTGCAACACATCAGCTCAGCGTGACCAATATCTCCAGCCTCCTTCGTCGCTTGGCTGCTGCTGGTGGAGCCAACACTTGCAAGTGTGAAGTAAGTGTCAACGTGTCGGAACTCGGTGGGAGCATCCGTCCTTATTCACGTTCACACTCGCTCGGAAAAGTGAAATTTCGTTTCACATGAAATGAAGAATCCTATGGGTCGTCTCCAGAGTATCGACCTCTGGCTTGTCAGCCGCCCCACCGAGGGCACCATGAAGTACAGCGATCGCCACCTCGCTGGCCTCTCCGCAAGGCCCCCCGACCGCGTCGAACTCATCGGCGCGGGCTCTCTCGGCTACGGGACCGGGGCCCCAGCTAGCAGCTTCGGCTGAGGGCTAACAAGCTGCCGAGCCCAAATCTCTGTGAGAGTCGTGATTTCTTGTTGGTCTTCAAAAATCTCTCTCTCATGAAATGTGAAGTGAAAGTGAAAGTGAAATCGATTCGGCATTCGCTGTTTCCTTATTGCTTATATTGCGGTGAAATCACAACACGAACCGGTGCATCAACCCTCTGCGGGTGTGCTCTTGCGACTTGCGTTCACTCTTGTGCGTTTTCTGTGTTGGTATGTCAACAATTTGCATGAAATATGAACGACAAAGAGATGTTAGCCTTCGCCTCACACGTCTGACACGCACGCTCGTGGCGGCAGCACCCCCCCGGCAGCTTCCCGGTTCTCCACTCTCCAACATGGCCCAGACTCCCCCGCCCCTCACTCCGACTGACCTTCCGCCCCTGCCCGCCCCTTACGCTCCCGTCCGCGGCGCCCAGGAAGGGGGCCGCCCTCCGCAAGCGGGCCCCTCTGAGCCCCGCCCCGCCCAGCCACGCCAGGAATAGCACGCCGGCCGCCGCTGCCAGGGAGGGACATTGGGCCGAGGGAGGGAGGAGGCGGGGTGGCGCAGCCGTCGCCTCCTCCAAAGCCGGCCGGCGTGTGGACGACCGGGCCGCGCCGTCGGTCCTCCTCCCCCTCCTCTTCCTCCCGCGGCCCCGCCGAGATCGTCCGAGATTGTCCGAGATCAGGCGTCCTCCCCCTCCCAGCGCGCCTCGAGCTGCTGCCTTAGCTTCTCGAGCCGCGCCGCCTCCTCGCTCTCTCTGCGCGATCGCTTGCGGGCGCGCTCCTCCGCACTCCACTCGGGCGACCTGGTCGGCGGGGGGAAGGGCGAGCTTGAGGGGGAGGGCCGAGGGGGAGAGGCGGGGGGGAGGGGCGAAGGGCTGGGTGGGCGGGCGAGGGCAGAGGGGGCGAGGGGAGTCTGCCCCGCGACTGCCACGCTTGAGCAAGGGGAGTCTGGCTGCAGGAGCGGTCTCGGGAGTGTCTCGGCGGGTGTCTGGGGCGGCGGCGGCTGGCGGCGGCGGCGGCTGCTGGGAGAGGCCCTGTCTCTGCCCTGTCTCTCTCGCATCTCCCACGCACCTCGGAGGGCCCTCCATACCGATGCGGCTGCCCGGAGGTGGGCCTAGGCCCGCCTCCTCGAAGGCGGCGTGGTCGTACACGTTCTGGGAGGGCGGGAAGAGCATCGCCCCCGCCGGAACCAGCGCGAGGTCGAAGTTTGCCGCGTCGCAAAACTGCTGCAGCTGCGGCGAGCTCCACAGCGACGGGGAGGCGACGTCGAAGGTCTCCGCCTGAGGGTGGGGGGGGGGGGGTGCTCGTCGATGATGCGGCTCTCTCGGCGCGGGTGGACGCTCTCGGGGCCAGCGCCCGCGCCTCGAGAAGGGCGACAAAGCTCTCGGCGTCGTCCTTCTCGCTAAAGCCGACGAGGTAGGTCCGCCGGCCGGGACCGGCGCCGGCGCGGCCGGTGGCGAACCCGGCGCCGCCCTGGAGCGTGTAGACGCCCTCGTCCGGCTGCTGCGCGTTGAAGAGCAGCACCCACGCCCCCTCCACACTGCCGAGCACCGGCCTCGCTTTGCCAAAGGCGATGCCGTTTGACTGCGCCGCGCGGAGGCCCTGCCGAAGCTCGTTCTCCCACGAGTCGGCGTTCATGGAGACGGCGGCGCGCGGGACCGGGAGGGTGGCGAGTGGCGCGCGAGGCAAGGAGACGAGCGCCGTCGCGGCGGCGGCGAGCGTTAAGAGCATACCCTAGGTTTGGCGCGGTTGATTGCGCTAGCTCTCCTGCTCGAGCCTTGATTGCGCGGGCATTATTTCTTTTTTCTCGGAGCAATTGCTCCTGCTTCTACCTACCTCCTGCTTGCTTGCCTCCGAGCTTCTGAAAGCGAACCAAGAAACGACTCTGCGCCCCACCCCTGTTCGACCTCACACACAAGGAACGCGCAGAGCTCGGCGCGCGACTAGCGTGCGGACGCATGCATGTACATAAAAATCTCTCTCAGACGGCGCCACAGCCCCCAGAGACCCTCAGCAGCTCCCTACGAGCGCCAGGCCGCCTCCGCCGCCATCCTGGCAGCAGCCGCCTTGGCTTAGGCTGAACAAGCTTTTCCTCTCGCACCCCGTCTGTTTTTTCCTTTCCTTTTTTCTCTACAACACCCTCTCTTTTCCTCTCTATTTTCCCGGGAAAACTCCGTGGAAATCGTCAAATTTTGGGCTCTGAGCCGAGTCTTAGGCTGGTTTGGGCCCAAAATCAGCCAAATTTTAGGCCAAATCGGCAAAATGCCAGGAATTTTGCGGAGAACCCGTGTAAACCTGGAAATTACCCTGCGACCGCCTGGGTATTTTGTCGATTTCCTCAATTTTGCCTCAGATTTTGCCCCAGTGCCCAGACCAGCTCTCACTCAGACTCAGGGAAACTCGCGAGTTTCCAGAATGGAGCACCAAACACCCTCTGTTTTCCCTGGAAATTTCCGGAAACGCAAAGTGCTGGGGACCCTCTGTTTTCCTTTCTGTTTGCCGGAAAAGCTTGTTCAGGCCAAGCCTTGGCCATCGTAGCGGCAGTGGCCGCGCGCCTCTTGGCCAACGCCTCCGCCAGCGCCGTCTCGTGGTCTCGTCCCCCTCAACGGCCGAGCGCTTGGCCTGTACGAGGTTTTCCGGCAAACAAAAAGGAAAACAGAACCCCGTCTCCGCGGAGGACGCTCGAGGCCCAGGCCTCGAGTGTCAGGATTGCTTTGAGAACTTTTACAAGGAGTACGACGTGGAGCCTTGGCTCTGGCGCCGGGCGATGCGTGAGGGCTGGTCGGAGCTGGGGGGCTGGTCGCGAGAGGAGATGGAGGCGGCGGAGGAGGAGATGCGGCGCGGCGAGGGTTCTGATGCCTATGGGCTTCAGATCTCTCAGCTAGGCGAGTGGGTCTGCGATGCTTGCTTGGAGGGCTATTTGGGGGGGGGCGTTGGCGACTACTCGGAGCTGCGCAGCGGCTACCGTATCCGAGTAACCCCTGGATAGGTCGCTCGCGCGACCTCTCCTGGATGCGCAAGCAAGGGGCCCATACATAGGGGTCACGCGGAGGGAGGCGCTGTTAGCGGCGGAGGAGGCGAAGGCGGCCGCGCGGGCGGCGGAGAAGGCGGCGCGGGCAGCGGAGGGGGGGAAGGGCGGCGGCAGCGGGCGGCAGTCCCGCGAGGCACGCCGGCGGAAGGGTTCGTCTTCGCGGGGCGGGGTGCGCACTGCGCGCCGCGAGGATGAGGAGCCTGAGCCAGGGGAGGGTTGGGAAGGGGGGGCGAGGCCGGAGGAGTATGACGGCCTCTTCGACGGCCCATAAGGGGCCGTTGTCTGCTGTGCCTTTTGTGGTGCTAGTTCGTGCCAGTCTGCTGTGAGAGGGGCTTGTATTCGTAGAATTCTCAGCGGGCGAGCCGGCCAGCGCCAACAACCGCAGAAGCCGTGGAATTGAAAACGCACTGCTGAGCCGGTTGTTGTCGGGTGTCTCCCCAACACTGACTCATGTGGCTCGTGCTCGCCGCCTCCAGCCTCACTCCGCCGCGCGCGTGGCGCCTACCGCCTAGCGCTTTGCGCGCGGGCTCCGCGGCCGTGTGCGAGGCGGACGGCGGCGGTGGCGGTGGCGAGCAGAACGCCCGCAGCATTCCGCCTCCGCTTCCGGCATCGACGGACCCGTTCGTGCTGCTCGGCCTCGACCACTCCTCCGCCGGCGACATTGCGGCCATCAAAAGCGCCTACCACCGGCTTACCAAGGCGCGCCTGTCCTCTGGCCCTCTCTTCCTCCTTTCTCCTTCGGCGCCTCTCCTCCATGACACGCCCAAAGCAAAGCCCTCGCCGCTGTGGGCGCCAGGCACGCCACCCCGACAGCCTCGTCACCGCCTCGACGCCCGTCCGGCTACGACAGCGGATCCACGACGACTTTTCGCGGGTCAACGCGGCGTACGAGGTGGCGCCGCCGCCGCCGGCCCCACCGCCCAGCGCCATATACATGTGTATGCGAGCCCTGCGCCATCATCTCCGCCATCAGCATAGCCCTCCGCCCCTCTCCGCGACGCATCCGCGACGCGTCCACGGCGCGGCCCCGACACTGACAGGAGTTGCGCAGCAACGAGGGGCTGCCGCCGCCGCCGCGCCGAGGTGCGGCCGCCTCCTCCCACCGCTCCCGCCGGACACTGCCACTTAATTCCCCCCCGCCGGCAAGGCCCGCTTCCCTTTATCGTCGAGGGGACACCCCGCGCTTTTCAAGGGGGTCAGTTCCCGCCGCGCCCGCCCGGTAAACCTCTCGCGGCCGCTTGTTACACTTCATGTCCGGCGGGGTGGTAACTGTACCCAGTACCGCGCCCTAATTGAATTCCTTCGGCCCCTACAAGTTGCTCACCCGCCCCGCCCCCC